CGACGGCGGAAAATGCCGTCGCGAAAAAGGAGAGTATTTGCGACGGCACAATTTGCCGTCTCAAAAAAGCAGAGTATTTGTGACGGCAGAAAATACCATCTCAAAAAAGGAGAGTATTTGCGACGACAGAAAATACCGTCGCAAATACTCTCCTTTTTTGAGACGACAAATTGTGTCGTCGCAAATACTCTGCTTTTTTGAGACGGCAAATGGTGCCGTCGCAAATACTCTGCTTTTTTGAGACGACATTTTTTGCCGTCGCAAAAAGAGACTTTTGAGATGGCAAGCGTGCCGTCGCAAATAGTTCCGTCTTTTAAGCCCCCTTTTCTTGTAGTGACAAAAAATTTACTTATTTCTCAAGTTATCTATTTAAATCTCATGAGTTTTATTACTTAAAAAATAACAATAAGCTTGTTTGGTTTGAATTTTCAAGATTTACTTTTCAAAAAATTAAAATTTTTTATTTTTCGTATTTTTTTTGTTTTCACTATTTTTTAAAATATTCTGAGCATTTTGTTTTAATTTTTAGAACATCTAATATAAATACTCCTAAAAAATATTTGTGAAAAAAATATTTAGAAAATTTACTCAATACAAAAAATACCAAAATACAAAAAATGAGAATTCAATTAATTTTTCATATTCTTGTGTATTTATTGATTTTTGAAAATATTTTTTTATAAATATTTTACTTTTTAGATATATGCAAGTAAGGTACGTCCAAAAAGCAAAAAAATTGTTTAAAATTTTAAAAATATTCGCTAAAAATAAAAAAAGCACGACAAACAAAAGATTCAATTTCTAAAAAATTGAATTTAAAAAATTAAAACCAAACATATTGAATAATACTTACACTATCATTTTGAGAGTCTAGATGAAAAAAAAATGTAAATATTAGTTCTTAAAAAAAATTATAATATGAATGTATTTTAAATAAATATTTATGTAGAATTGCTGTGCATAGCATAGGTGCATCGCTAGTAGAGAAATAAGAAAATTCACTTGACATAAATGGCTCAAAATATTAAGTTATACTTTAACTTCATAATAGTATAGATATAGATAGATAATGTGCCAAAATTAATTTTGATATTTAATTAAGGGTAAACAAAATTACCAACTACTAAGTTTGGAACAATATATTAAGCCATACGAGTTTAGTCTAATTACAATAACCTAGTAAAATAAAAAATAACAAAAACTAATATAAGATAGAGATATTTAAGAGTAAAATTAACGAATGATTGATAAAAATGGGACAATGTGTCATGTGAATTAAAAATTAAAATTTTAAATGATCACAATGTAATTATATTAAACTTGTGGAGCTCAAGATATTTTTTAAAATCTCAAAAGTAATTAGTATAATTTATTTTGAGAGATGCTATTCTCACTCTACTTTACTTCAAATACACTTATTTTTTATTTTTATTTTTATTATATGTAGTTACTAATTGCACTCCACTTTGCTCCAAATACTCTTTTCTATATATAATAATGATAAAGAAAAAAATGTGATTGAAATAAAATGAAATGAAAATAACAGCTTCCTTTACCTTCTAATTAATATATAATATTTGTAGTGATACTTACTCGTTATACAAAATATCACCTCTTATTGAAGGTGGAAATGTAAAACCCGAGTTCTATTATTTATTTAGGGTAAATTACAAATGCACTTCTTAAAATTTGCTTATAGTAGATTGTCTTCTATACTTTGAAAAATTACAAATACTTCCTTGTTAAATTTTTTTATTTAACATAACTAACTAAAAAAAAGAAATTTGTAATTGCTCTCATTTACAATAATAAAATTACTTAAATTATTAATTAAAAAATATTTATAATATCATTAAAAACTGTTAATTGACTTGATAATTTATTAATAAAATGGGTGATTTATTATGAAATTAGAAATCTTAAACGATAAAATGTAATTTTTAAAACTACAAAAAGTAATTTATATTTTAATCAGATCTCAGAGAATATATTTATAATTTATCTATTTATTTATGTAATCGACCATAAAATGATTTGGTACAAAGGTGGTCGGGACTATTGAATAACTACTAGAAATATTTTAACCAAACCCAAAAAAAAGGGACAAGTGGGGAACCTAAATAAGATCCTAAAGTGCGGGTCAACGCTCACACAAAGGAATGGCCCACGATGGTTGAAGTCCAATATGCTAGGTACATAGCAATAACCAAGACAGCTCTCTCATGGGCCTGGTCCTAATCCACTATGGTTGAAATCAAAATTTAATCCATTAGAACAAGTTTTGCGTTGATTGTATCTAGGGATGGCAATGAGGGGCAATGTGGTGGATATTAATTCTCCATCCCTATTCTCTTATAATAATTTTTTTTTATTCCCCATTTCCCATTTCCTATAGGCACCACCCTCCCCATTTCTTAATGGTATGGATTTTCCCCCACCCACTTTAATCCCCATTTTTATTTTTTATATTTAATGTTAAAAA